TCAATGTCTGTTGAATGAAGGCACCTTTCTAAATCACAGGCTGGCAGAAGGGTGGGCTTTTCTCACACTCCATCTCTGAAGGTTTCTGTGACTGTCTTTTCGAGAGAATCTAGTTTCATACTTTGAGTTCTGTGGCTGTGGGCACAAACCAACAAAGACCCAAGTCCTTTTTCTTTGGGAGTTGAGGAGAGTTTACCAGTTTGTGTTCCCATTGGGTCTGAGAACTTTACCTTTAAAATCCATCCCTGGCCCCTGCCTACCACTTCCTGGCCTGGGGAATAGACTCGAAGGGGCCACCCTCAGTCACCTTCCTTTGATTCTCCCCACAGAAACAGCAGAACCGAGCCCAGCTGGAAGAAGTGACGTGATTTCTTTGTTTGATCATAACATGACTGCTGGGTTTTAGAAGCACTCAGCAGTAGAGGCCCCAGTCTCATCTTGCCCACTCCCAGCCTGGGGAAGAAGGCACACCCCCCGGATCCCACCCCGTCCCCACAGGGTCCTTGATAACCTGGTCCCATGGGTGGGCCTGTCCTGGGGCAGTGGTGCCATTCTGGGGGCATGTCTCTTGCTGTGCCATCTCTGCCTCCCCCTAGTAAGAGCTCTGTCTTCCTCTTTCTATAGGAAAAGAAGGCAAGCCACCAACATCAGGAAGCCCTAAGGAGGGAGCTAGAGGTGAGTGGAGGGTGTGAAGTTCCCTCCTGTCCTCTGGAGAACGTTTCTTTGCTTCTCTTTCAGCACTTGCTTTTTTTTTCCCCAAAGGCCCAGGTTCATACCATACGAATCCTTACATGTGAGAAAACTGAGCTTCAGACGGCACTCTATTACAGCGAGCGTGCTGTCCAGCAGTTGCAAGGTGGGAATCTGGTACCCCATCATCCTTCAACCTGGCACTTTGACAGGCCTTTATGGGGAGTCCTTTGGGCCGCATCTGAATGTCTCTCATTCCAGGAGAGTGCAGGCATCTGGTCGGCCGCCTGCATGATTCATGGAATTTTGTAAGAGATTTAGAGCGGGATCTCTCTGCTGTTGCTACACAGAAGAAGAAGGCTGACAGGGTGAGTCCAACCCCCTGCCCCATCCCCTGGGAACCCGGCTTCACAGATGGAGGAGTGAGCCTAAAAGTCCCTTCTGCAGGATGGAGTGTCCTGCCCAGAAGACAGCATGGCCATTTCTTGCTGCTTTTGTGTGTGGTGGTTAGAGGCTGACAGGGGCTGAGTCGGCTGCTGTGGGTGAGTTGGGGGGCGCCGTGGGGAGTGAGCACCGGACATAGAGCTCACAGGCCAAGTGCCCGCCCTGCCCATATTTGACTGTGGTCTTGGCCAAGTCCCAAGTGGCGGTTAGGATACTTGTACTATAAAGGTACAGAAGACTAGCTTGAGTATGTTATTATTTGTGTTGAGAGAGGGAGCCTCTGTGTGTGTGTGTGTGTGTGTGTATTATGGGAATATACAATAAACATGTTTGTAAGGATCATAAACATCTCAGGAGAGAGGAACAGTGTTGGGGGGAGATATTTCCCTTCTGTACTTTCTGAGTTTTGGACGATTCGAACGTATCATCCTTTCAAAATGTCAACAAATGATTAATTTCCTCCTCCTTATCTTTGCCCCTACCCCCAGGGAAAGAATGGGCTTAGAGAATCAGATATACCTGGGTGTTGAAATCCCAGCTCTACGTGATCTTAGGCAAGCACTTAACCCTTAATACCCCATGTTTTTCATCTATACGATAGAGGTAATAATGGTAACCGTCTCCTATGGAGGTTGTGAGGATGAAATGGGATTGTTAGCGCAGTGCCTGGTGAAGCAGTCAGTAAAGGTTCCAACAGTGGTAGTAGTAACAGTAAGAACAATAGCAATACCATCTGATGTCTCTGGGCCCCTGCTAGCCAGCCATGAATTCAGTCTCTTTCCCTGTCCCTTCCACCTTTACTGAGTTCTTTGAAAAACAAATGAGGGCCTGGTGCTCTGGCTCATGCCTGTAATGCCAGCACTTTGGGAGGCCGAGGCTGGCGGATCACCTGAGGTTGCGAGTTCAAGACTAGACTGACGGACATGGAGAAACCCCATCTCTACTAAAAATACAAAGTTAGCCGGGTGTGGTGGCACATGCCTATAATCCCAGCTAATCGGGAAGCTGAGGCAGGAGAATTGCTTGAACCCGGGAGGCGGAGGTTGTGGTGAGCTGAGATTGCGCCATTGCACTCCAGTCAGGGCAACAAGAGTCAAACTCTGCCTGAAGAAAAAGAAAAAGTAAGAAAGAAAGAAACAAAACAAAACAAAAAAGAAAACCAAAGGAGACCCTGGGCTTGGAAGTGCCTTGAGAGCATGTCAGGTGTGACTGGGAGTGGGGAGTGGTGTGTGGAGTGGTCACGGTGGCTGTTGTTCCTGGTCGGCCAGCCGCTCCTCTGCCTGCTCTATCCTGACTTCACCTTTCTCTATTTGCAGTACATCGAGGAGTTAACAAAGGAGAGGGATGCCCTGAGTCTGGAACTGTACAGGAACACGTAGGATGGGGGACGGTGGGATGGGAGGTCTGGGGGCTCTTAGCGTGGGGGATGTGCTGAGAGGTGGGGGGTACAGGTGAGCATGGTGAGAGGCTCATACAGGTTTTCATGTGTGCACAGGGAAGCTCTAGTGCCGGCTGTGCCACTGACTCATGCGGTAGCCTCAGGCAACTCATGTCTTCTCTCTGGCCTGCCACCTGGGGCTTTTAATTCCTGGGGTCCCATCCAATGCCACGGTTCTGTGGTTGTGGGGTGAAAGTAGAGGGTTGATCACCAAAGCAGTCCTTTCTGTTCTTCGTTCATTCCTTTATCTACCGCCTCTGGTTGTAGCATAACCGATGATGAGCTGAAGGAGAAAAATGCCGAACTACAAGAAAAACTTCGACTTGTAGAATCTGAGAAGTCTGAGATCCAGCTCAATGTAAAGGAGCTAGAAAGCAAGCTGGAGAAAGCCAAGCTCCTGCTGCCACAGGCAAGCAGCTACAGCCCCGGGGGTTGTGGGATCCCCGTCCGGCTGGGACCATGGTCTAGGATCATGCAGGCTATGGGGAGGCTCCAGTCAACAGCTGGAAAATTTGGGCCCTTGTTCTGGTCCCACCATAGAATCCTCTAGAGTGTGCTAAAAATCTACAAAGTGGGGCCCTGCCTGGGGAATCAGAATCTCAGAGTTAGGGCTTAAAAATATATATTTTAAAGGATCATGGGTGAAAACCATTGTTTGATAGATTACATTTATATGACTATCCCATGAGTCTGTTTCCTTCTGAGGTTCAAACCAACTTTCACTGTTCCAGCAGCAGCTGCAGGAGGAGGCTGACCACCTGGGTAAGGAGCTGCAGAGTGTGTCTGCGAAGCTCCAAGCCCAGGTGGAAGAGAACGAGTTGTGGAACCGCTTGTACCAGCAACAGGAAGAGAAGATGTGGAGGCAGGAAGAGAAGATACAGGAGCAGGAGGAGAAGATACGGGAGCAGGAGGAGAAGAGGCAAGAGCAGGAGGAGAAGATACGGGAGCAGGAGGAGAAGAGGCAGGAGCAGGAGAAGGAGATGTGGAAGCAGGAGGAGAAGATAAAGGAGCAGGAGGAGAAGATACGGGAGCAGGAAGAGAAGAGGCGGGAGCAGGAGGAGAAGATGTGGAGGCAGGAGGAGAAGATACATGAGCAGGAGGAAAAGATGCATGAGCAGGAGGAGAAGATACGGGAGCAGGAGAAGAGGAGGCAGGAGCAGGAAGAGATTTGGAGGCAAGAGGAGAAGATACGGGAGCAGGAGGAGAAGATGCATGATCAGGAGGAGAAGATAAGGGAGCAGGAGAAGAAGATACACAAGCAGGAGGAGAAGATACCAGAGCAGAAGAAGAGGCAAGAGCAGGAGGAGATGTGGAGGCAGGAGAAGAAGATACGGGAGCAGGAGGAGAAGATGCATGAGCAGGAGGAGAAGATACAGGAGCAGAAGGAGAAGATGCACAATCAGGAGGAGAAGATACAGGAGCAGAAGGAGAAGATGCATGAGCAGGAGGAGAAGATACATGAGCAGGAGGAGATGATAAGGGAGCAGGAGGAGAAGATGCACAAGCAGGAGGAGAAGATACAGGAGCAGAAGAAGAAGATAGAAGAGCAGGAGAAGAAGAGGCAGGAGCAGGAAGAGAAGATGTGGAGGCAGGAGGAGAAGATACGGGAGCAGGAGGAGAAGATGCACGAGCAGGAGGAGAAGATACAGGAGCAGAAGAAGAAGATAGAAGAGCAGGAGAAGAAGAGGCAGGAGCAGGAGGAGAAGATTTGGAGGCAGGAGGAGAAGATGCATGAGCAGGAGGAGAAGACACAGGAGAAGGAGGACAAGAGGCGGGAGCAGGAAGAGAAGATGTGGGAGCAGGCGGAGATGATTTGGAGGCAGGAGGAGAAGATGCGTGAGCAGGAGGAGAAAATACAAGAGCAGGAACAGAAGATACAGGAGCAGGAGGAGAAGATACGGGAGCAGATGTGGAGGCAGGAGGAGAAGATACAGGAGCAGAAGGAGAATATGCACAATCAGGAGGAGAAGATACGGGAGCAGGAGGATAAGATGCACAAGCAGGAGAATATATGGGAGCAGGAGAAGAAGAGGCAGGAGCAGGAGGAGAAGATGCGGAGGCAGGAGGAGAAGCTACAGGAGCAGGAGGAGAAGATACGGAGGCAGGAGGAGAAGATACGGGAGCAGAAGGAGATAATACGGGAGCAGGATGAGATGATGCGGGAGCAGGAGGAGAAGATGTGTGAGCAGGAGGAGAAGCTGGGGAAGAAGGAGGATATGCTGCGGGAGCAGGAGGAGAAGATGTGTGAGCAGGAGGAGATTCTGGGGGAGAAGGAGGATATGCTGCGGGAGCAGGAAGAAAAGCTGTGGGAGCAGGAGAAGAAGATGTGTGAGCAGGAGGAAAAGATGTGGAGGCAAGAGAAGAAGCTAGGGGAGCAGGAGGAGAAGATGTGGAGGCAGGAGGAGATGATGCGGGAGCAGGAGAAGATGATGTGGGAGCAGGAGAAGATGATATGGGAGAAGGAGCAAAAGATATGTGAGCAGGAGGAGAAGATGCGGAGGCAGGAGGAGAAGATGCGGGAGAAGGAGGAGAAGATGCAGAGGCAGGAGGAGAAGATGTGGGAGAAGGAGGAGAAGATGCAGAGGCAGGAGGAGAAGATGCGGGAGCAGGAAACGAGGCTGTGGCAGCAGGAGGAGAAGATGCAGAAGCAGGAGGTGAGACTGCAGGAGCTGGAGGAGAGGCTGGGGGAGCTGGGGCGGAAGGCCGAGCTTTGGGGGAGCAGGCGGAGGTGGTTGCAAACCCTGGAGATCATACAGAGCGAACTCACCACAACTTAGCAGATGGTAGTTGGCTCCCTCTGCTTTTCCACCAGTCTGTGGCGTACAGCTTCAATGGTGGGAAGAAGGGTGTGAGATTTGAGGCTGGGGAGGGAGGCATGGGCCTCTAGGCAAGGGAGGCAGTCACTTAGGCCTGGAGGAAGGGGCCAGGGGCCAGGGGCCTGGGCAGATAACAGAGCTCCACTGTGCCCTCGCCACCCTGTTTATGGGCCCAGAATCTGGAAGCCAGCCACTGCCTACCCTGACGCCTATCCTGCAGGTGGAGCTGAAGAGCCAAGAGGCTCAGAGTCTGCAGCAGCAGCGAGACCATTCCCTGGGTCCCCTGCAGCAGTACGTGGCCGCCTATCAGCAGCTGGCCTCTGAGAAGGAGGCTCTGCCCAGCTGCAGCAGCAGGAAGCTCAGGGCAAAGCGGTGGCCGAGGTGGCCCCCCAATAGTTGCAGGAGACCCAGTTGAGAGAGTTGATGAGGGTGAGGCCCTGAGGGGGATGACCTGGCAGCCTCTGTGCCTTCTCACTCTCTTTTCTGGCCCCTTAGGAGCACCTGGAAGCTGCCATCTACCGAGCACATGACAAGAAGGCAAAAACAATAAACATGTAAAACCCGGCAGCAAGGCCTGGAGAAGAGTCAGCTGCCATGTGACTGTTTAGAATATAGTCTGAGCCCAAACCTGAAAAAAAAAAAAAAAAAAAGAAAAGAAAAATTACTTATTTTAAATTGTGGCAAAATATTGGTCAGGCACAGTGGTTCATGCCTGTAATCCCAGCAATTTGGGAGACTGACGTGAATGGACCACCTGAGGTCAGGAGTTCCAGACCAGCCTGGCCAATACAAAAATTAGCCGGGCATGGTGGCGCATGCCTGTAATTCCAGCTACTTGGGAGGCTGAGGCAGGAGAATCGCTCGAACCTGGGAGGCAGAGGTTGCAGTGAGCTGACATCGTGCCACTGCACTCAAGCCTGGGTGACAGAGCGAGACTCTGTCTCAAAAAAAAAAAACAAAAAAAAACAAAAAAAAAATAACAAAAAAAAACTTTCTTCCTTATCTTCCTTACATGTATGTTTCTATTGGTTTTTTTCTTGTATGTTTCTACTGGTTTTTTTCTTGTTCTTTCTCATTTAGTCTTGTCTTGTCTTATGGCGTTGCTAGTAAAATTTTATCTGCCTCCAGAGAGTATTGACTTTGACTTTATGGCACACAATTGGAGTAAGCGCAGATCACCTTCGTGTAGTTTGGGACTAAGCTGGTTGAAAGCAGGCTTTGGTTTTTGTGAGGGCTGGTCTATTTTTTATTCATTTGGACTCCTAGGGGTGGCCCTTCCTGGGTCCCCACCAAGGTCCCATCTCCTTACTGGGACCCAAATTCTCATGAGGTCATTTCAGCCCTGTGAGTGCCAAACATCCAGCCAGGCTCTCCAGCCTCTTAACCACCACTTCAGACTCAGTTTCTTAGCCTCTTAGCCCTCTACTGTTCACCAATCACCAAATGTGGGAAAAGCACTACAGACTGTCAGAGTCACCTCCTAGGCCTGGTCACTCAAGTCCTGGCTGAGGTCTCCAATTACCTTCAAACAGTTGTTTTTGGTGGTGGGGGCACATTTTTGTCCAGTTTCTCTAACTGCTTTTGGGGGGAGGCTAATCTATAACAAGCTACTCTGCCTTTAGTGAAAGTTGAAAACCTTCATCTGTCTGTGTTTTTTTTTTTTCTTTTGAGATGGAGTCTCGCTCTGTTGCCCAGGCTCCAGTACAGTGGCGTGATCTCTGCTCACTGTAACCTCTGCCTACTGGGTTCAAGCAATTCTCCTGCCTCAGCCTCCCGAGTAGCTGGGATTACAGGCATGTGCCCCCATGCCTGGCTAATTTTTGTATTTTTAATAGAGACAGGATTTCACCATGTTTTCCAGGCTGCTCTCGAGCTCCTGACTCAGGTGATCTACCCGCCTCGGCCTCCCAAAGTGCTGGAATTATAGGCGTGAGTCACTGCGTCCGGCCCATCTGTCTTTTAAAAAATGTTTTTAATTTGAGGTATAATTTATCTTCAGTGAAATGCACAGATCTGGTATATATTTTGATCAATTTTAACAAATGCATTACCCATGTATCCCACCTCCTTTGAAGATATAGAACATTCCTATCATCCAGAAAGTTCTCCTGTGCTTTAACCCTGTCCGGCACTCCCCCAGCAGCTGATGAATGTGCTGAGGACATTGGTACAGGATTCTGGCCTCCCCAGAGGAGCTGCTTTGACAAGCCTGCTTGCCTTACTCAGCACTAAGTCCCTGCCTGCTCTCTCAAAATTTCCATCTTTAAACTGGTTGTACCTATAACCCTCCCTCATCAAGTCAGTAGATAAACAAACCCTGAAAAAAAACACCCCTTCCTGGCCCAGCAGCCCACAACCTAATCTTTCCTGTAACCCCAAACTATCACACATGTCACTCGCCGGCTGGTTCGCCCTCCCTGGAGTGGCAGCTGCACAGGAGCAGCTGGGCTCACCCGTTAAGCAAGAAGCCAATAGCTGGACAGTGACACTCAGACCCCAGCCTGGGAGAGCCTGGCTGAAAGCCCCCTTCTTTCTGGTCCGACTGTGGAGAGAGGGGGCGGAGCATCCACAACTCTACTGTCCTCCGCATCCTTCAGCTGTGCTTCCTCCTGGGAGACGGAGCTGTTCATTCATTTGGCCAAAGCTTTCTTGAGGGCTGTAGGTTTGACAGGCTGGGTGTGTGGGGGCCACTGTGCTAGAGAGAGAGGCTGGTGTGTCAGAAGGCAGCCACCTGGCCAGAGGAGGGTCAACCCCCTTGGTGTCCTCCTTCCCCTGACTGGACACAGCGCCCTGAACTCCCCACATATGACTGCTCCCCTCAGAGCCGCTTCCAGGGGAGGCGTTCTAACCCTGTGGGTGGGGACACTGTGTTAGTTTACAGTGGGCCATGGCTCCCTCTGACATCTCCAACTCAGAGGCAGTGGAGAAAAGATGAGAAATTCCCTGCACCCCCTCCCTCAGCACCCCCACCTCTGCACACATCCACATATGGAGACCCTGACGGTGGTCCCTGGGAGTGCCGCCATCTGCGCCTCCTTTCCATGCCTGCAGCAACCATGCCCTCTCTCCAGACCCTCACCCTCGTGGCTCTGTAGGGGCTGCACTGCCCTGGGACCTGCCCCTACACCTGGGCCTCTGTACCCGTCAGTTCCCCCAGTCTGGTTCTTATTTCCCCCAACAAGTAGGGAGCCGGTAAGGTCACCTGCTGAGCAAACTGGGGGAGAGAGTAGGGTGGGGCTGGGAGGATGAGGAGGAGAAGCTTATGGTCGTGCTGGAGACTCAGCGGAGCAGAGTCTATGCAGGCCCATTGGCTGCCTGGCCAGTGGTGATCCCGCTCCCACCCTCGTTTCTTCTTTAACAAAACCATGACCACATTAAATATTGGACACCTATAAACCTCATAGACCCTCCTCCAGCCTCCCCGCCATGTATTGGTGAGTCTAAGTCAACTCTAGTCATTTCATTCCTCTGGACACTGATTGCCTGGGGCTTGGGCATGACCTGCCTCTTCACCTGAGCCTGAGCCACAGGTGTCCTCTGCACCTACCAACTGATGCACTGGGCCAGGGAGAGCTCCGTCTCGATGGAGATGAGCTGTGAGGAGCTGGTGGCTGGGTGGATCAGGTTGTTGTAACGGGTTTTGTTCAGAGGGTCATCCATCAGCTTCTGCTCGGCATGGGCCATTCAGCAGTCCCCTGGGTAAACACACAGACATGCTGGACCCTTGAGCAGCTGTCCCCCACTGCAGCTGACAGCTACAAAGTGGGAGCCGAGAGGGCCAGGGAGCACAGGCACCTCGAGGGCCGGCTGAAGCAGTGAAGGCGCTGGCGGGCCTGGCGCTCCCCGGGAACCTCAAATGACATTCATGACAGAGCTCAGTTACCTCCTCCCATGCCACACCTCTTCCTCCTCCTCCTCCCTCAATCAATGAACAGCATCCCACGCTCCACACATCTGATACAAAACTGGGTGTCTCTTCCAGACTCCTCCTTTGGTTCATTCAAGTGGCCACCAAGTCCTGTCTGTCCTCCCATCTCCACGGCTACGGCCATGTCCCTGCCTCCCCCGCCCTGTCCACCGTCTGTTCTCTCCACTGGCACTCTGTCCCCGCCATCCATGTGCCATACAGTGGCAGACTGGTCTTTCTACAGCACAGTGGACTAGCGCCCTTCCCTGCCCACAGCTCTCAGAGCTGGAGGTGGAGTTGAGACTCATGCTTTGGCATTCAGAGCTCTTTCGCCCTCGGCACTGGCTTATCCAGAGCGCTCACAGTGCGGGGCAGGAGCCCCTGACTCAAATGTGGGTGTGGTGCACAACTGGGTCATAGGCTTTCCCTAAGAAGAGACAGGACTGAGATGCGGAGCTTTTCTGGGTTCAGAGTTAGACCCACAGAGTGCAAGGTTTCTCCGAGACACCAAATGGAGGGTCCAGCTGGCAGCTGGCTCCTGGTCTGGAGCTTCAAGGAGAGGTGTCAGCTCTGAGCCACATTCAATAGCCAGCTGAAATGCAGCCTCCTGCAGAGAGTCCCTGGAGCTTCCACAGCCTCAGTCTGCCCCTCTGCATACCCCAGATCTCTTGCCAAGTGGCATTTGGTTCTTCATGTCATCTCCCTCTCATGGCTGGGAGTAAAGGTGAGGTGCAGGGACTTGAGCTTGTGTACTCTAGTGTCTTAAGGGAGAATGTGTCAAGTAGAGTGGAGGTGGCTTGGAAAGAGGGAGACTCAGAGGAGAGTGAAGGACACTGACCAGGCGAGCCTGGGAGCAGGAAAAGAGATGAGCGTGAGCAGAGGAAACTGCTGGGGCAGGGGGCGGATGGGAGGATCAGGGAATGAGGGGGCTGGAGACGTGGGGGTGGGGATGCTGGCGCCAGGCTGCCTGGCTCGCCAGGCTCAGGAGTCGGTTACATCCTCCCACAAGGGCCAGCTCACCTGGTCGCCCCAAAGCCCTCCCTCTGTGGGTGGGCCCAGAGGGCCCAGAACATGGATTACCCAATTGAGCAGGACAGAGGTGGACTCAGGTGGTGCTGGGCTGGACTCCTGTCTGTGGGGAGCAGCCACCACCCTGCCTACTGCATCCACTTTCCAACTCGCTGCCTGTCTGAACAGATGCAATATGGGGCACCTTGTGAAACGTGCTCCTGGTGCACCTGCTGCCTGCTGCCCCTCCTGCAGAGTGCCCGGGCTCTCCAGAGGGGATTCCTGTGGAGGTTGGCCTAGATTCTGAGTCCTGCCTCTCACACCCAGGGCTGCTACCCCAGAGGCCAGCTGCTTGAGTACCCTGGAAGCCTGACTGTAGCCCCAGGCTACAGCTGGGTCCGTCCCACACCCCTTCTTTAGTGCATCTATTTGGACTGACTGCTCATTTCATAGAGAGGGGTGTGTCTTGCCCCAGCTCATCTGGCATGTCTAAGGCAGTTGTGGGGTCAGAATCTGCAGCTCCCAGGCCCCAGCCCTGCAACAGTAGGAGAAGCTGGACCCTGTATCTCTGAAGTCCCACCGGGCTGGTGTGAGCGGGCTCCTGAGCCCAGGGCTGCTCTGCAGGCTGTGGGGCTCATGCACCAGCTCTGAGCCCACCTGATGTGCTCAGGTTGCTCACCTTTGGGCCTGTCCTGCCTCTCTGGCATTCGGCTGACCCTGAGGTCCTCTCCCTCATCTTGACCACCAGCTATGGGCTCTGACTTGGAGGTTCGCAGAACCTTAGACCATTTGGCCCGCCCCCTCCCCCATTTCTCAGCTGAGAAAACTGAGACCAGAGAGGGAAAGCAACTTTCTCAAGGACCCCCAGCAAGTCAGAGACAGAACTGGGTCTAGGAGCCTCTTCTCGACAGAGATTCTCCCTGTTCCCTGAGCCATTTTTTAGTGTCTCATTAACTTCCCTGTAAGGAGACTGCACTGCCGAGGCTGGAAATGGTGCTGTCCAGGGCGGTGTGTGTCCGTGACTGCGCCTGTGTTTGTACTTGTGAGTGTGTATGGGGGTGGGGATGAGGGGTGCGAAGAAACAGCAGGGATGCTGCGGCTGGAATGCACTCCGCCTCACCCCAAAAAGGGGCGCAGGAGAGCCCAGCCAAGCACAGCACATGCTTCCACTTTCCAATCTGCTGAATGCCTGTGAGGCCGGCTGGGCTCAGAAGACAAGGAACAGGCCTTTCCCCACAGATGACAGGGGGGCCGAGGATGGGCGGAAGCTTCTGCTGCAGCTTTGGGGGTCACATCCCAGCCCACGGGCTGACAGTTAAGCAGAGAGGCCGCCTCTAGGGGTCAGTCATGATCTAGTGATTCTGATGAGGACGGGGCCCCACCAGCCTCGGTCCAGGGTCTTGTCTGGAAAAACTGCTCCCTGGCAGAAATGGGCTAATAATTTGAGAGGAAGCCGTAGCTGAAATTCTAAACTGTGTGAGTGTGTGTCTAGTTTGAAAAAGCATATCCGACTTCAACATTTATATTGAAAAAATGGAAAGCTATTCCCCTTGTTTTGGAATACAAACTACAGAAAGCAACAGTTCACAGAATCTTATTGGAGAGGTGAGATTCTACATCTGGAAAGGCACAGTGACTTTCAACTGGGGTGTGTGTCCTTCACTGAGCAAGGGAAGGTGAGATTTATGTTTAGTAAAAGGCAGCTATGAATTTACCTTTTATAAAGAACTTGCCACGTATTATTAGTGTGTTTTCAATCATGTCAGAATCACCCGGATGCCTGTGTAAATGCAAGTTCTCAGGCTTCATTCTCGGAGATTCCGGTCCTGTGAGCCTAGGATGGGGCCCAGAAATCTCTATGGGGTGGTGCAGGCTGCCCCAGGACCACACCTAAGAAACACTGCAACTGCCCCACACACACATCCAAGTCCCCAAATACGTAGGCAGGCATCTCATCTCCATAGAACAGATAGGGAAACTGAGGTCCAGAGTGGGGAAAGAAATGGCACAGGGTCACCCAGCAAGTAGTAGCAGAGCCACGACACACCCACTGCCTGCGGACACCATCTCTGACGACAGCTCCACCTCCCTTCAGGAACCTTGCCTACCCCCACCCCTACCTCCTGCTGCCCCTATGGTGGGTCTCTGTCCAAGGAAGATGTAGCCCTGGTCCTCTAGGCTGACTGGGGCTCAGAGGAAAAGCTTGGCCCAGAGTGTAGGAGCTAGAAGGGTCCTTGGAATTCAGGTGAGGAAACTGAGGCCCAAAGAAGGGAGTCCTCAGATTTGAACTGTGTCTGGAGAAGGTCTGATTCTCCTTCCTGAGTAGTAGGTTTGGCTTCAGTAGCCTGACCCTCAGTCAAGCTGGCTGTCCAGGCCCGCCACACCTCGGGGTGGGTGACCAGAGGCGGCGGTGCCATAAAACACGTTTCCTGGGAGATCCACCCCCAAAGCTCAAAACATTCCAGGCCTGGTGATTTGGGCACGCCCCCTTCCCTCTCGGTCCCGTTTCCCCATCTCTACAATAGCTGTGTTGGAGGAGACTTCTCTCTGAGACTGAGCTGCAGATGTTCTCCCGGGTGCCTACACCGCCCAGGTTGCTGGCTCCTCTGTGCCCACTCTTCAAGACAGTCAGCTCTTAGGTGAGGAAGGTGCCTTGGCCCTATCAGGAGTAGGAGCTGGTGTCCCTGAGCCTCCCAGACCAGTGGGGATGACCCAGGCTACCTGCAAAGCTGCTGCCCAGCCCACAGACACCGCCTGGGAGGGTGGCCCCGGCCCTCGCAGCAGCTCTGAGAAGAGGCAGCCCTCACTTCAAAACTCGCAGAGCCACCCATGCCTTCCCTCAGCGCGAAGAGGCTTTTAGGAAAATGAATCATCTCAAGTTCAAACCCATGGGGTTGCTGAAAGACGAGACAGTATGGGGTGAGCTGGTGCGAGGGAGCGCGGCTCTGTGCAGACTCTGCAAGGAGGGCGCTTAGGAAAAGGGACTGGAGTCTGGGAGGCTGACCAGCTCAGGGTTAAAGGGAGGGGATGGAGCTGGAGTGAGCTGGCCTCATCCTCTCCCTTGGGCTTTCCAGCCTGGGCTCAGGTGATTCAAAGGAGCAAACTCGAACTCCCTGGTCGAGTTTTCCCGACCAGGGAGTTCTCGCCACGTTTTGGAATCGGTACCATTCCCTTGGGGGCTGGGGGGCAGCCCCCACCTCCAGACCTGGCTGGAACTGCTGCCTCAATTCTAGATCCAAAAGAACCTCTGGCAGCTTCTCCATCTCCCTCCCAGTCCAGCCTCACGTCCTCCCCCGTGAGGGCCCCAACAGCCAATCTGACAACTGGAGGAACAAGGCAAGAAGGGCAGGGTCTGAGGGAGTGACCACCTCGGAAGGCAGCTCTGCCACCTTCTCTCCAGGACTCTCAGGCTTGCATTCGTATCGCTCCCTCGACATCCTTTTGCTATAATCTGGCATCTAGACAGACAGATGGTCTTTAAAAACAACAACACTGTTGACGTGGAGCAGACATCCCCTTTGGAATGGTTTGGAGAAGTTAGGGTTGAGGGCATCCTCTCTTCGGCAACCTGCAGGAGTAATAGGTGAGATATAGAAAGTAAATAAAGGCCGGGCATGGTGGCTCACACCTGTAACCCCAGCACTTTGGTAGGCCGAGGTAAGAGGATCACTTGAGGCCAGGAGAACAGCCTGGCCAATATTGCAACATCCCGTTCTCTACTAAAAATGTAAAAATTAGCTGGGCATAGTGGTGCACACCTGTAGTCCCAGCTACTCAGGAGGCTGAGGCAGGAGAATCACTCGTACCCGGCAGCTGGAGGTTGCAGTGAACCGAGATCCCGCCACCACATTCCAGCCTGGGTGACAGAGTGAGACTCCATCTCAAAAAATAAACATAAAAAATAAAGTAAATAAAAAAGACATGCCCAGGCTGAAAAATAAGTTAATCATTATCTCCATGAATGAAAAGCAGAAAAGAAATGCAAAGTGGTTGGAGACTGAAGAGCCTGGACCCCGCTGGGCTTTGGAAACCAAAGATGGTGGCAGGTCCTTTGGGATAAAGAGGGACCAGCTGGGAGCTTGGGTGGACCCCAGTACTTCAAAGGCTGCTGGCCGGGCGTGGCAGCTCATGCCTGTAATCCCAGCACTTTGGGAGGCCGAGGAAAGTAACTCATGTCAGTGTGAAAGCAAATCAGACAGGACAGGGCAACATGGAGGGGAGGAGAGCCAAACCGGGGCCTGGTTCCAGACCCGCCCCGTTGAGCCAGGCGCACAACTGGCTCTCTGCACAACATCAAAGGCGAAGGAAGACATGCTTTCAGCTCCCCTTTAACTCAGGTTCCTAATGTGACAGCAGGCTTGTCAATCCCACTTGCCCTGTGGCTTACACCAGAAAACTACCAACAGTGTGAGTAAGGACAGAAGCAGGAGACAGAGGAGCCAGGGTTTGGGAATTCCACAGCCACCCACAGGCCCTCATCACACACACAAGGTTGCGCCCCCACTGGGCTCACCACACCATTCGACATCACCTTTCAGCCTCACTACCTGATAACCTGCCTGGATAACCCCACTGTAACACAAGAAACAGGGCTAGAATCTAGCGTGGAAGCTACACCTGAAGGAGGAAGAGACGGTAATACAATACAGTGACATTTTTAATTTATTTCGTTCATATAAAATTTAGAGCCATAATCAAAACGTGTAATTCTGATGGGGTTCACTACTTACAAAAACTTCACGGCGCTCTATTTTCAAATGGAAATGGTGTTCTGTGGCTCCTGGCCGGCATGTAACTAAAGAGTTACTCTGAAATCTGTTTCACAGCTTATTTTTGGCAAGCAGCAATTTCTTCAACCCAGGTCTTCCAAGGGAAAAAAGGACATGAAATGTACCCAAAAGTCTCTTACAATCTTTAGAGAAACTACTGTTCAAGAACCGCATCTGCCAAGTCAACACATCAAGAATCCTTCGATCACAAACACTTAGGGTGAGAAAACGGTCTATCGGTGTGGGAGACGGACACATTATCCACGCTTATGAAACGGTCTGGACTATCGGCTACTGAAAAGCTGTGAATGCATTTTTCTTTTTCTACTTTCCAAAATTTTGCTGAGGTGATAACTATGTTTGTTTCTATTCTATTTTTTTAGTAGGTACATCCTTATTATAAATCAACTGTAGAACCAATGTCCCATACGGGACCCCACGTGCCAAAAGAACCAAAAAGTCACACGCAGCGAAGATGAAGACATAGGAGACAACCTGTGTGGACAGCACAGAGCCACCTGCCCAGGACACCAGTGGAGCCACAGGTGCAATTCAACATGTTCTTAGCTGTCTTAATAAACATGGCCAGGTGCGGTGGCTCACACCTGTAATCCCAACACTTTGGGAAGCCGAGGCGGGCAGATTAACTGAGGTTGGGAGTTCAAGACTACCCCAGCCAACATGGTGAAACCCCATCTCTACTAAAAGTACAAAAATTAGCCAGGTATGGTGGCACGCATCTTTAGTCCCAGCCACTCAGGAGGTTGAGGCAGGAGAATCACTTGAACCCGGGAGGCAGAGGTTGCGGTGAGTCAAGATCGCACCACTGCACTCCAGCCTGGGCAACAAGGGCGAAACTCTGCCTCAAAAAAAAAAAAAAAGGTAAATAAATAAATACAATACAATACAATACAATACAACACAACACAACACAACACAATACAATACAGCTCATACGATTTACCTAAGAAGCTGTTGTATGAGCTGAACCAGAGGTAAACACCGTTTGCCAGAAGACTCACAGATTCCCGTATTAACAAGGTCTTAATCCAATGGCGTCCTGCTCCTATGAAATGTTGAGGCATTCGCTTCCTGGTCATCAACTTCTTTTTCCTTCTGTGTTTCTTTTTGGGCTTCAATATCCTGGAATTCATAAACGGAAACTGTTTACAAGGGATCTCATTAGCAGGTGTGAAGGCACACAGGCTGGCTGAGCCCTGACCCCAGGGCCAAGCTATCCCAGCCTGTGAGTGCCACCGCACACACCTACCCACGTAAGGCCCACACCTGCCCTGTTGGAAACCCCAACTTAGTTGTGCAGTTTCAGTGTCTTCTTTTTACAGATCCAAGGTCCAGGCTGCCTCTGCTGATGCTCTCCAGCCTCCTTCTGTGCAGTCCCTAAAATCCTTAACCCTGCTACTGGCTCTCACAAACACCCATGGGATCCGCCCCACACACGCAGCATCCAGCTGCTTTGTGAAGACAAGAAGCTAGAATTCTCACACACACTGGTTCAAGTGTAAACGGCAAAGCCACTTTGCGAAACCATGAACAGCTACTTACCCCAGGACCTAACAAATTCCACTGCAAGTGTTTACCCTAAGGGAGAACATATGTTCACTAAAATACTTGTACACAGCACAATCGTGGCAGCTCCACATGGCCAAAACCCAGAAAGCCTGGGCGCGGTGGCTCACGCTTGTAATCCCAACACTTTGGGAGGCCAAGGTTGGGGGATCCCTTGAGCCCAGGAGTTCGAGACCAGCCTGTGCAACATAGTGAAACCTTGTCTCTACAAAATAATCAAAAAACTAGCCGGGCATTGTGACCTGACTGTGGTCCCTGCAACACAGGAGGCTGAGGTGGGAGGATCGTTTGAGCCGAGGAGGACCAGGCTGCAGTGAGCCACGATCAGGTCACTGTATCCAGCCTGGGTGACAGAGCAAGACCCTGTCTCAAAAAAAACAAAAAAAAAAACCCAAAAACAATTAAGTGTCCTTCAATAGGAGAATGAAGTAACAAACAGCACTGCACCTATAAAATGGAAAACTTCCCAATAATAAAAACCAAGTCACAAGACACACAACAGTGTGAGTGAATCCGAAAATCCTTCTCCAAGGCAACGCAGGAAAGAGTGCAGCCTCTGCAGCTACATTGCTGCAACACTCAGAGCAGGAAAATGAATCTCATCTGAGGGCAGGGGAGCGTCCCGGCTGTGAGTGCCAAGGGGCACAGGGATCTTCCCGGGTGACGGGAACAGTCTACCTGATGAACAAGTTACCTGTTAAATTCACTGAAACAGACAAAAACCCAGGATTGCACAATTAAATCATATCTCAATAATTGTTTAAGTTAGCACGTAAAAGAGTTTAAAAAAATACTTGGATATGAGACAAGTTTAGTTTTACTGTTTTCAGTTATTCTTCGCGTGTGAGTGTGGTATTTCCGATCTCAGAGCACCACCAGGTCATGTGAGCCTCCAAGGCCATACCTCGATCTCTGCAGTAATGGCTGCATATAAGGCGGACTCCAACTCTCCAGCAGCCACCAAGCTGCCCACCAGAAGATCACTCATGAATTGACAACCTCGACTTATGTTCACGTCATTGCCTGAAACTGAAATAGAAAGTGTGTGCCAATTTGAGTGAAACGCCATCCCCTCCCAGCACCCCGACCCATGCCCTCTCCCGTTCCTTCCCCAAGCCCACCTGCGCAGGGCAGGGGAGCAGAGAGTGCCCGGGCCCGCTCCTCGGCGCTGGGCAGCAGCACGGACCAGCCGCTCTGCGGCATGGCCTGGGCGGCCGACTGCACGGTGCTCAGCACGCCCACGCTGCTGGCCAGGGTCACCACCGTCTGCTTCAGGCTGTTCAGGAGGACGCTGCCCAGACCTAAACCACACAATTCTGGGTCAACCTGGTGACTAATGGCAGCATGCAACCGACAGGAGAAAAATCATTTTCACTTAGAACCCCTCAAAATGAGTGAATTTCAAAGTCTTATTAAACATGGAATAAAACTCACTTTGAAGTATTATTTAAATAGATAAAGTAACTTCTCAGTTTATGTATTTTTAAAAACTGGACTAGAAAACCTCTTAACCACAATAGTTGAAGTATTTTCTAGAGGAATTTTTTAACCCCACCATGAACACGTATATGGAAAAGCTCAAGATGAGCAGAGGAGCTAAACCACCAGCAACAGCAACCCCCATCCCGCCCGCCCAACAATCCAGACGCAACACAGAAAGAAAGGCTACAATGTAACCAAAAAAGCGGCCACAGGCGGTGGCTTATGCCTGTAACCCCAGTCTTTGGGGGGCCGAGGTGGGAAGATCACTTGAGATCAGAAGTTTAAGACGAGCCCGGCCAACATGGTGAAACCCCATGTCTATAAAAAATCAGCCGGGCATGATGGTACACACCTGTAGTCCCAGCTACTTGGGAGGCTGAGGCAGGAGAATCACTTGAACCTGGGAGGCCAACATTACACCACTGCATTCCAGCCTGGGTGACAAAGTGAGACGCTGTCTCAATTTTTAAAAAGCTGCTAAAAATTAGATTGCGGAGCTGAGAGTACACAAGGAAACTCCTCAAGTGCAAAACCGAACTCACACGGGCACACACAGCAGGAGTCAAGAGGTTCCGGGCTCTGAAGGCAGAGCCGAGCCGCCAGGCTTCAGAACAACCTCCCACACGGGAATGCACACAAGGACCCACTGAACCCCAGCTTCCTGCAGAAGGCTGGGAGCCACTCAGGATCACCTGCCTGCCAGCCACCCACAGCCAGGGCGCAACACACTGCCGTCCCGGGCTTTGGGTAGCAAGAGACCCCACGAGAAATCAGAGACCCGGCCTTGCCCTGTGAGTAGAAGTGAAATCAAAAACATATCGCTCATCTAGGTATAGATATCACAGGTCAGGAAATGAGCGTTGAAACTCACCTACGGTCTGTGAAACCCACAGAACCCTCAGAACCCCGGAGAGGCAAATGCAAAACCAGACGCTGGGACACCTCGACAGCCTGAGACATACACAAGGCCACGCTCCACAGCACTGACCAGAACAGAAGCATCACTGCAAACCAGGAGGAGCAGCAAACACCAGGGGGCACCCACGCAAACGCCAGGACGCCACAGGTATGGCGACACGTGAGTGCTACAGAGGACTGCAGGAGGAGAAGCACGCTCCAAACCTCTGCTCAGTTCATCACTGCAACCAAACACTACACTCAGTTCTGCAGATTCTCGAAGCAGGGCAAAAAGGGGAGGGGCTGGAAGAGGGGCATGATGGGTTGTTACACAGAAATCATTGTGTAATAAAAGGGAAGTTACTATGTCGAGAAAACGTGGTTCTTGTCATTAAGTTATATGGTTTTATGACAAAGACAAAGAAAATATGATCAAAGACTTCAGCTTTAGTTTTACCAGGAAGGAAGACTTTTGTAGCTTTTATTTTGACCGCAGCCGTAACCTTCATGGTGAGGAAAGGAAGGTATTGTGTAGGGAGCCGAGCTTACTGAGTAGATCAGCTTTGTCCAACCCACAACCTGAGGGCAGCACGTGGCCCAGGACGGCTTTGAATGCGGTCCAAAGTAAACTTTCTTAAAACATTATGAGATATGCTTTGCGATTTTTTTTAAGCTCATCAGCTATCGTTAGTGTATTTTATGTGTAGCCCAAGACAATTCTTCCAGCGTGGCCCAGGGAAACCAAGACTGGACACTCCTGGAGCAGGGTTTTCACAGCACAGAGGAGAGAGGGGCCAACACTGGTCTCTCAGCTGAGCACCGCCTCCCTCCATCACCTGTGATCTCACCCAGTCACTTCTCCACACACAACAACAGTAAAACAGGAAGAATGCTGACACACTCATCATAGCAAAAATAACACAATCCATGCACACTCTTCCTGCATGCCGAGGCTGACTTCCAGCACAAACATAAAATAATCAGATCAAGTTGTTTCAGCCTCGCATCCATTATAAGCGCATTACAATCTTACTTTAAAATACTTCACCGAATAGGCTAAAACCCATGCCTTTCAAAATACATAAACCTTCTTACAAATCCCTAAGACACTTATAAAAGGAGCAAGAAGAAGGGAAATTGTGAGCACCTGAAGTTGTAGAAGATTCAGCGTTGCCACGGCCACGCACTCTTTCTCCTGGGGTGGGGGCCAGTCTGCGGAGCCGTCCATCCCCTCCCTCACCTGCCGCAGCAGGAGATCCAGCTGCTCAAAAGTCACTGAGCAAATGTCCACCACAAAAGGGACACGGAGTCCAATGGACCACTCAGAACATGATGACCAAGCAAAGCTCTAAGAGGAAATGCGACAATCGAAAATGAATCTCCAAATGCAGCTGCTGGTCTGTTCAACAGGAGTCCCCAGCATGTCTGATGGAGCCGCCTTACATTACCACCTATCATCCCTCTCACCGCCCAGTCCAAAGGCATTCATGGGTGTCTAGCTCACACACTGTCAGCTTCCAATTTTCCCGCCCATTTCACTAGCCCCATCTCATTTGGCCATACCTAAAAAAGTAAAAGCAATTTTAATAATTTTTTCACTCTCAAAATGATAAATGCACATTCATGGATGGCAATGAGGATCTCCATCCACTTGAAGTGGTACAATAGCAACTCTAACTAGACAATGAATTGTTAGATGCATAGAACACACACACTACCTTTCATAGTGAGAGAACAAGTCATCGGCAAAAATCTAAGAGAACTGTAGAACGCCATCGATAAATCGGATCTAATTTATAGAACACTTCATCCAACAACAGCAAAATACGTATACTTTTTTTTTTTTTTTTTTGAGATGGAGTCTCACTCTGTTGCCCAGGCTGGAGTGCAGTGGCAAGATCTCGGCTCACTCCAAGCTCCGCCTCCCAGGTTCACGCCATTCTCCTGCCTCAGCCTCCCGAGTAGCCGGGAATACAGGCGGCCACCACCACGCCCGGCTAATTTTTTTGTATTTTTAGTAGAGATGGGGTTTCACCGTGTTAGCCAGGATGGTCTCGATCTCCTGACCTCGTGATCTGCCTACCTTGGCCTCCCAAAGTGCTGGGATTACAGGCTTCAGCCACCGCGCCTGAACCATACATACACTTTTTAAGCACATACAGAATGTTCGCTAAGAGAGAACATATCCTGAGACATATATCTTAACACATTTAAAAGAAATGAAATCATATACAGTTTGTTTTCCCTAAGAAATCATTAACAGAACAATCTGCAAACATTTCAAAATTTGAAAACATACTTAATAATCCATGGGTCAGGTTGGGTGCAGTGGCTCACGCCTGTAATCCCAACACTGTGGGAGGCCAAGGCGGGGGAATCACCTGAAGCCAGGAGTTCAAGATCAGCCTGGCCAACATGGAGAAACCCCATCTCTAGTGAAAATACAAAAAAATTAGCTGAGCATGGTGGCGGGCACCTGTAGTCCCAACTAACCAGGAGGCTGAGACAGGAGAATCACTTGAACCCGGGAGACAGAGGTTGCAGTGAGCCAAGATCATGTCATTGCACTCCAGCCTGGGCAACAACAGCAAAACTCCATCTTGAAATAATAATAATAATAATCCATGGGTCAAAGAACAATTCTCAAGAGAAATTACAAAATATTTTGAACATAAATGAAAACACACCAAAATTTGTGGGTTTAATTAAAGCACTGCTTAGAGGAAAATTTATAGCCTCAAATGATTATATATTACAAAAAAGATAGATGTAAATCAGCAATCTACGCTTCCACCTTAAGAAACTAGAAAAAGAGCAAAGTGAACGCAAAACAAGCCAAAGGGAAAAATGACAAGATAAAAGCAGAAATCAATGAGATTGAAAGCAAAAAAAACAAGGGATCAATTAATGAAACTAAAAGATTGTTGTTTGAAAAGATCAACAAAATTGAAAAACTCTAGCAAAGTTGACAAAGAAAAAAGCAGAAAAGATACAACTTCTCAGCATCAGGAATGAATGAAGGGACATCACTGCAGGCCCCACAGACGTTACCACGGAAAACTCGACACGTACAAATCAGACCATGTAGATAAGTAAAGCCATGTCTGAGCGCCACAAACCAGGAAAATCCTCCTAGAAACAAACAGGTAATCTGAATAGTTCGGTATCTGTTAAAGAAATGGAATTTGAAAAATCTTTTTTTTCTTCCCTTGAGCCGGAGTTTCGCTCTTGTTGCCCAAGCTGGAGCGCAATGGTGCGATGCCGGCTCACTGCAATCTCCGCCTCCCGGGTTCAAGCGATTCTCCTGCCTTGGCCTCCTGAGTAGCTGGGATTACAGCACACACCACCAAGCTCGACTCATTTTTTCTATTTTTAGTAGAAATGGGGTTTCAACATGTTAGCCAGGCTGGTCTCAAACTCCTGACCTCAGATGATCCACCCGCCTCGGCCCCCCAACGTGCTGGGATGACCGGCATGAGCCATCGCGCCTGGCATAAAATCTTATAGAAAGAGGCCGGGCGCGGTGGCTCAAGCCTGTAATCCCAGCACTTTGGGAGGCCGAGACGGGCGGATCACGAGGTCAGGAGATCGAGACCATCCTGGCGAACACGGTGAAACCCCGTCTCTACTAAAAAAAAAAATACAAAAAACTAGCCGGGCGAGGTGGCGGGCGCCTGTAGTCCCAGCTACACAGGAGGCTGAGGCAGGAGAATGGCGTAAACCCGGGAGGCGGAGCTTGCAGTGAGCTGAGATCTGGCCACTGCGCTCCAGCCCCGGCGACAGAGCGAGACTCCGTCTCAAAAAAAAAAAAAAAAAAATCTTATAGAAAGAAAAATCCAGGCTCAGATGGATTCAAAAACATGTAAAGAAGAAATAACACTAATTCTACACAATCCCTTATAGAAAATGGAAACAGAGAGAATACACGCCAATATTTTGTATAAGGTCAGGTTTCCCCTGACAGAAAGTCAGACAAGACAGTATAATACAAAGAAAGACAACCACAAACCAACATCCCTGATGAGCATCAACAGAAAAATCCTCAACAACGTGTTAGCAAGTCAAAGTTAGCAAGATAGAAACAGAACAGGACCGGGCACGGTGGCTCACGCCTCTAATCCCAACACTTTGGGATGCCAAGGAGGGTGGGTCACTTGAGGTCAGGAGCTGGAGACCAGGCTGGCCAACATGATGAAACCCCATCTCTACCAAAAAAAAAAAAAAAATTAGCCAGGCGTGGTGTTGCACACCTGTAATCCGAGCTACTCAGGAGGCTGAGGCAGGAGAATTGCTTGAACCCAGGAGGCAGAGGTTGCAGAGAGCTGAGATTGCACCAATGCACTCCAGCCTGGGTGACAGAGTGAGACTCTGTCTCAAAAAAAAAAAAAAAAAAGAAAGAAAAGAAATAGGGTGGTAAATTGTGGCCAAGTGATGCCTATCCCAGTAATACAAGGCTTGGTCAGTATTTAAAAATCAGGCTGGTGCGGTGTCTCACACCTGTAATCCCAGCACTTTGGGAGGCCAAGGCAGGTAGATCACTTGAGCTCAGGAGTTCAAGACCAGCCTGGGCAACATAGTGAAACCTTGGTCTAAAAAAGAAAAAAAAAGTTTAAGAAAAAAAAAGTAAAAATCATCAATGTAATATACCATACTAACACACTAAAGAAGGAAAACTGCAGGACCATTTCATTTGAGATGATTAAAAGCATTTAACAAATTTTAACATCCATTCAGGATTTTTTAAAGCTTCTAAAAGGGGGAATTAAAGAAACTGCCTTAATCTGGGAATAAGGCATCTACATAAACACCCGCAGCCAACATCACAGCCGATGGTGAAAGACTGAACTGCCCTCCCCTACAGTCCGGAACTAGGCGGGGCGCCCACTGTCCCCTCTCCTACTCAGCTTCACACCGCAAGTCCTGGCCAGGGCAACCAGGCCGGGAAAAGACATAAAAGGCAGGCAGACTGGAAAGGAAGAAATGGAACTGCCCCTCTATACAGATAGTATAATTGTCCATGAAGAAAACCCAAGGAAACGACAATGAAGTTCATAATAAATGAGTTTAGCACAACTGTGGGACGTAAGAACAGCAAACAAAACTCAGTGGTATTTTCTATATACTGGTAGTGAACAACTGGAAACCAAAATCCTCCAAAACACCAAATCAAGCTCTATATTCCGTACCTGGGCAGGCCCACAGGAAATTCCCACTGTGTGTTTGGTGTCCAGTCCCGGCAATGCTGCAGGTTCTGGCTTGGTCACACGCAAAGTGTCAAAGTGCTGGCACTGGTCGTTGCTCCCCGAGCTGTGGACCTCGATGTCCTCAGTCAGAGCCAGGCAGTGGGTGGAGCCGGCAGCCACATCAATCACCTTCTTCCCTACAAGGAAAGAGGGACGCAGATGCAGCTTCAAGCCTAGGACTTCTGCTGCAAGAAAGACAGGTATTTCCACTCGGCCATTCAGGCCAGAAAGCTTTTAATATTAACTTCTTGGGGATAATCTGTTGCTTTAATATTAAGCACAATTCATTTGCTTTGGGTGTGTTATTAGAACTCCTGTATTTTGTTAGCTACAATTTGTTAGGACCCACAGCCTACAAAGATCGTAATGCTGGGATATGAAAACGATCTGTTCTTTTTTCTCCTCCTTATTCAGATTTTCATTCAGAGAGAAACAAGGTGCTTTTAATTAACTATTAGATCATATTCTCCCATCCCAGATATAACAATACACAGCACACTCTTCACTAAGGAAGGCTTCCTAAGAGGAAATCTATTTTTCTCTCAGAGTTAGGTGATATCAGTATTTAAAACATTGTTTCTATTTAAACACTTATTGTATTTACCAGGAACACAAAATATTCTATTTTTCCTTCCTGGTAAATCTAACATGGCCAACACAAAGGGTGTTTCTCAGAAATGTCAACATATAAAAGAACTCAGCTGAAAAACCACACTGCAGTAAGGGGAACAATTCCATCCTAGGATCCTACCGTAAGTTAACATCAGCAACAACAAAAGGTGTTTATCAACAGTAATTTAAATACTCTGAAAGTAAATGATTTCTATATCTAATGACCGTCGTAGCTTTCCTATACTAATGGAGGAGAATATAAATAAGAAGGCACATGAAATTAAAACATCACTTATCTCAGAAGCTCAGAACATAATACATACCGTATGGGCACACAAAACTCTCAGTCATCAAGATACTAACATGCGTTAAAACAAAACTCATGGAGGAAGGAACTGGCAAGTCTCACTTAAAAGTCCCACTTCCAAACCCACTTGGTAAAGAAGCAAACACACAAACAATGTGTGTAGTACCAGGACCCAACGAACTACAGCCCCCACACAGAGCGCAGCCCAAGGCCTGCTTCTGTGAAGACGCTGGTGTTGGAACACAGCCACGTCCACCTGCTTCAAATACAATCCGGCCCTTTAAGAAAAAGGCCGCCCACCCCTGAGAGAGAGAACCCTAAAGAGTCCATCTGATGTACCTGTCACTGCCTTTTCCCTTCTTCCCTACTTTCTTGTCAGCTTGCCTGCCCTTCCCCAGTGCTCGACTCGGATGAAGACTACCTCCCAACCACTAGGCCAAGTGGCACAGAAAAGTCCAGTTTTGCCTTAGAAAAATCCCTCCGCCATCACAGTTTTGATGGCCCACACCCCAACTTCCTGCAGCATAACATCCCTAGGAAGAACACCATAGAAGAATTTCAGGGTCTTCTTGCGGAGGCCCCCATCCTCTCTGCCTCCACCCGCAGCCCACACTGAAGGCGCCGGCACTCATATCTACACACCTCGGCTTCCATCTGTTCCCTCCAACCACAATGCATGCGGGACACCTTTGCAACTGAGCAAGCAGGAATCACCCACCAAGGACGAGTTCACATCAGAGTGTCCCAGCTGGACCCAATCCCACGTCCTGATGTGGCCCCACAGCACAACGCACCCTCACAGTCTCAGTGTGTCTGCAGTACAAGTACAGGTGACCTCACCACGCAGAGGGAACCCTTCCTGAGTCCAGCCTGCTGAGGGACGAATGGGTGCCTGCCACGGAAAGTGGCGATGTTTGTAAAACTCAATGGGTTTAAATTAAATTTGGTAAGAATAATTCAAAGTCATTTGTAATAGAGACACACCCACTTTCCAATTAGTATCAATCCCTGCACCAAGCCGGCTGTCAAAATTTCTAATGACAGTCCATTCACGGAATGTCAGGTCAAGAACACAAAACCTGCAAACTTTAAAACATCACTAAAGAAACCGTCCTGAAGGGTTTTAACAGTTTACGTTTGCACTCACCTCGCAAGCCTTCTAAGAGTTTTGGATAACGAACATGTCCCTCTGGTCTGTGTCCACGTCTCTGGTTGTCACCTTTTCCCCATGAATAAACTTGGCCATCTTTCGTCAAAGCGATGGAAAACTGACTTCCACAGCGGACTCTGACCACATCCAAGTCTTGAAGCTTTTCAATCAGCTTTGGGGTTTTGCAGCCATCACTACCACCTCTGCCCAACTTCCCACAGTCACCATCTCCCCAAGACCACACTTGCCCTAAAAAATACAAATGCATTCAAATAACAACAACTGTGCATTTTAATGAAAAATTTTAAATGACTGACAATAATCTAATGAAAAACGCACACTAATGTAGACCACCCGTGTGCACAGTTAATACTACAAGGGAGGCTACTGAGCAAATGAAATCTAGGTGACACTTGAGGTTGATATAGAAGCAAGAAAGAAAGGGAAGGCGGAGTTTTCTTTTTGTTTTCATTACATGAAAAACCAAGTCCTGACTCTTACTAGCCTGGGCTCAATGTTCACTGCTTCACAGAACCAAAGGCCCACTGCCTCCGTGACACCCATTAACTGGGGCCCGGCACACTGCAGACGCTTGCGGACCACCCTCCAATTTGCCTGCCTGCTTCTGTTGCCACCGTGCTGACCGCTGGTCAACCGTACCACTGTACGTGTTCCCAATTGCATATATCAGCATAATTATGTAAGTTGATTAAATATTACATAAAGGGATAAAATACAATTGCAAATGTAAATAGTTTTATTTTTACTGTGAAAAATAAGCTGAAAACTTTGCAAAAACTTTTTTTTTTTTTTTTTTTTTTTTTTGAGACGGAGTCTCGCTCTGTCGCCCGGGCTGGAGTGCAGTGGCTGGATCTCAGCTCACTGCAAGCTCCGCCTCCCGGGTTTACGCCATTCTCCTGCCTCAGCCTCCCGAATAGCTGGGACTACAGGCGCCCGCCACCTCGCCCGGCTAGTTTTTTGTATTTTTTTTTTTTAGTAGAGACGGGGTTTCACCGTGTTCACCAGGATGGTCTCGATCTCCTGACCTCGTGATCCGCCCGCCTCGGCCTCCCAGAGTGCTGGGATTACAGGCTTGAGCCACCGCGCCCGGCCTGCAAAAACTTAATGAAAGTGAATTGCTAAAAAACAAAATTGTTAGGCTGGGCACGGTGGCTCATGCCTGTAATCCCAGCACTCTGGGAGGCTGAGGCCGGCAGATCACTGGAGCCCAGGAGTTTGAGACCAGCCTGGGCAAAATGACGAAACTGTCTGTACTGAAAATACAGAAATTAGACAGGCGTGGTGAACATCCATAATCCAGCTGAGGCATGAGAATTGCTTTACCCCAAGAGGTGGAGATTGCAGTGAGCCGAGACTGCACCACTGCACTGAGTGAAACTCTGTCTTCCAAAAAAAAAAGTGAAATTACATAAAGGTGAAAACTGTAAAAGATCAGGAAAAAGAAATCAGAGAAGATATCAGATTGCTCCACAAGTTCCCACGTTCTATTTTGTAATAACTAAAGATAGGCAACTATTTTCCTCAACGATCAGATGGTAAATATTTTTAGCCTCTGTGGGCTTTCTGTCCCAACGACCCAGCTATGCCACTGTCACAGGAAAGCAGCCATAGACAATATGTGAATGAGTGGGCAAGCCCGCACACCAATACAACTCCACCTGCAAAAGCAGGCCGACCCCGAGCGAACCGGAAACTGGAGATGACACACTATGTTGTGGTCAATGAAAGCAGCACAGCAGACCCGCATACAGAGATCAGAGGTGCACTTTCACACGCTGTGCTGAAGATTATGCTGTTCATGTAGCCCGCCTGGGCATTTCCCACTGTCCCCCAAGGCCAGACTGCAGGGTAGGATACTTCTACCGTAACTGTCGCCTCAGAAAATAACGGCACAGCAGGGACACTTCCCTACAAGATCTGCACCAAAGAAACACCAGTGTGAGGAAGACACTGTCCGCAGCCTGTTCAAGGCAGTTTACTCAACGTATCATCATCAACTTCACCTAAAGTAGCAACTACACTAAAGAACGCAAGGCTAGAATCCTAACACAGCTCCGACCTCACAAAACTTTTAATCAGGAAATATTTTAAGATCTACCACTTACTCGATATCGATAAAATAGATATTTTTAAATGACGACATGTCAAATTGAAAGCTCCTTGACAGCAGGAGCCTTTCAGAGGAGACCACCTTTGCTCTAGGACTCACAGTAGCAGAAACAGGATGGCTCTGACAATGTCTGTCCCGGCAATGGCAGCGGGACCTATGCATATAGAGAAGTATCTGAAATGATTTTTCATCTTTGACCTAAGAAATGCCCAAAAGTCACTCAATTATCAATCTGCCATTCAACTTCTGCAGGAGAGAAAGCAAGCTGACAGGTCCCCAGCTGATTTCACAGGAAGACTCCACAACGCCAGAGACACACAAGATGCCAAGGACAGACCCCCACAATACTGACAGACAAGTCGTTTCTAAAAAATTAACGTCACTTTAAGCATCAAACCTCATCATGTACCCTCGAAAAAAGATGAGGATGATCTCAGTTAGGAACACAAACCCAAAAGCAAAATTCAAAGCAAACAGATACCGCAGCGTCAGACTACAGAACACGGAAAGACTTAGCAGGGATTACCACACGGAATCAAGAGTGGCCGAACGTTAAGAAATGTAATAATACTAACCAGAGACAATTCAGAGTGTCATTCATTCCATCCCAACTCTCATGCTTAAAAAATAAAATGCCCACACAGGAATGCCCACACAGCTGCTAATCTGCTGACAGGCCCCAGGCAAACAAGCCCTGTGAAATCAATAAGCTCCCACCTCAACTACTTAGATAAACAAAAGCAAAATAAACTCAAAGCAAGCATAGGGAAGAAAATAATATAAATAAGTATACACATAAATAACCACCGCGGCCTCTTCACCAATGCCACTGACCCCACACCCACTGGGCGACAGGGTGGGCGGCCTCGTAAGGCCCACTGTGCTCATCTCACTTCCTCCAGGGAAGCTGCCAAGCGTGTCCTCGAGGCCCGGTCCTGGGTGGCGAGAGCTCTATGTACCGTTCTCAGTGACAGCCAGGGTTTGAGCGTCCCCACTCCCACACGCCACATCGATGACATGACCTTCAGTCCTTTAAGCCCAGCTACCAGCATTGGAATGGCCTCGTCCTCACTGGAGCCTTCAAACAGATAGGACGGCTGTTCCTAAGTCCTGTGAGAGGCCACCTCCTGCTGCATGCTCCCACTCATGTAGGGCAGACGCACTGTGGCCCAGCCCGCCGTAGTTCCCGCGGCTCCCGGTGTACAGCTCCCCCTCCGCAGTGATGGCCGCGCTGTAAGTGCTCCCGCAAGCGATATGCACCACATGCTTCCCGGCCTGCTTTCCAGAGAAGGCGGAGATCACCTTACGCTCCTCCAGAGGCCTTGGGGAGGAAGAGAATAAACATGAATGCCCTTCTTCTTGGTGTTCTTATTAGTGTTAGCAAAGGAAATTCACTATCCAAATGGAGACCATGAGAGCATCAGGCCAGTTTCACCTTCCAGGAATCTTATAAAATAAGGAAGAGAGAATTTGAACACCTAACACCTCCATGACTTTTTGTTAAGTTGGAACCCGACGCCAAGCGTGGTATCCAGTAGAATTACAAAAACAGGGTGAAAGACTTGTACAATAGGCTGGGCACGGTGGCTCACACCTGTAATCCCAGCACTGTGGGAGGCTGCGGTGGGCGGATCACCTGAGGTCAGGAGTTTGAGACCAGCCTGGCTAACGTGGTGAAACCTCGTCTCTACTAAAAATACAAAATTAGCTGAGAATGGTGGTGGGCCCCTGTAAGCCCAGCTAACTGGAAGGCTGAGGCAGGAGAATCGCTTGAACCCGGGAGGCAGAGGTTGCAGTTAGCTGAGATCACACCATTGCACTCCAACGTGGGCAACAAGAGCAAAACTCCATCTCAAAAAAGGAGACTTGTACAGTAAAGTCCATTGCAGCTTTCTTCACAATGGCCCAAAACCACGGTCCATCCGCAACAGAAGGAAGGAATTACCCACACACCCAGCAATGCGGCTGGATCTCAGGACATCATGCTACGTGAAAGATGCCAGAAACAAAACACCACACGCTGTATGGCTTTGTTTACCTTCAATTATGGAAAAGACAAAATAGTAACAACAGAGGGCAGATCGGAGGTTGTCAGCAACTGGAGGGAGGAAGTGGGGATCAACTCAAAGGGTACAAACAGGGCCCTGGAAGCGATGGGAACGCCCCATGTCTTGATGGTGGTGACTCCCCAGCTGAGGGCACTGGCCAAAACCCATCGAACTCTATACCCGAAACTCAGTCATCTGGTTGTACGTAAGCCTCAAAGCTGACTGACATTTATATGTATTTGTTAAATGAATGTGGCTGGAATGAAGCCAGCACTCTGCAGTCTGTATCTTACAAATGAAAAGTATGAGGCAACGGGGATTAGGGTAGAGAAGTCTTACTAGTTGAAGAAATTGCAAAGTTAACAAAATATCCTATTCTTTGGATCCAGGATACGTTCCTATGATGGATGACATTTTCTTGAGAATCTATAGAAGCCAGGCCTCTCCAAAGGCATGGTTTACTCACTTTGTGACCTACTAGTCTGCAAAATACACACAGTGGCACAGGCGCACACAGCGACAGTCCAATGACTCTACCCTAGTACAACCTCTCCCTTATTCAGCTTAAGTTTCAACTTCCCCAAAAGGTTATCTCCAGCTTCTGCCATCTGCACTGATCTCTCTTCCTTCCTTGAAGTCCTAGAATAAGGGATAAGTTACTCATCCTAGCACTTACTCTGCACTGAGAATTGTTTTACTATATATTTTATACAAAGTCAGTAATAAATACCTAAAGGAAATAAGCAGACATACCGCCCTGTCCTGTACCTCAATGCCTTTCAAGTCCCGTGTACCCCATGTCAATCCCAGCCCTTAGGATCCAGTGTGACAATGACAGCTATAAATTCCATGGAGATCGATCTTTTCTTTTTCACTCGTTTTACATTTGTCTGAATCCCTTACAACACTGTCAGGGTTGGGCTGTTCTGAGCTTGGCATACATGCACCGCACGATACACATCACTCTGCTTTTCTCCCAGTTTGGGATCTTCCCAGCAGATGCTGTCAGCAATGATGCCCTCAACTCCACCCTGTGGTGTGCATGGCCCCTGCCCTCCGGGCTCCTCTCAAGGGACACAAGGGCAGTCATGACTACGCTCATTGCACATTCTGCACTGTCCGCTCCCTGCTCAGGGCTCCGGCCCGCATGAAATGGGCTTGCTGGGTTGATGTGTACATACATCCTTCATTTAAACCTAATGCCAGAGTTCCACGCACAACAGCAAAGTACAAGACGGTTCCCATCACTCATGGGGCTGGCAGACCTCCCAATTTTTACAACCTGGCATTTATAACAACTTTATTTCTGTTCTTTCACAATAAAAGATTCCACCGAATAGGATGATATTACGAAGAAACTGCTGACTTTTGTTCCTGTAAAAATAATCTAGTGGTTCAAGGAAAGGGTGACAACCTTATCTATGGGAGACAGGGGGAATTGTTTGTGAAGGAAGGAACAGTGCTGCGGGATTTGTCCTGGCAAACTCCACAGTGGGGATGCGGTTTGAGTAGAGAGAAGGCGGCCAAGGCTGCATGGGGTGGAGAAGAGCAGAAAGGCCGATTCCCGTTGCCTTCCACACATGGGCAGAGAGTTCCTAAGCCGTCACCAAGGAGGGGGCATATCCTAGTGTCCCGCTCCACCCCAGCGCTGCACGTCGGGGCAGCTGGAAAACACCTGCACACACTCCTGCGCTCCAGCCTGTCGAGGATATGGCAACATAAAAGAGGAGTGCGTCCCTGCAGGAATGAGCGATACACACAGTGTCCCCATGGCCCAGCCATCCTCTGTCCCCTAAGCCCAGGAGTATACCTCTCCAGCGGCAGCCAAGGCTATGCAGTGGTGACCATCAGAATGGGCAGCAATTTTTACAATGTTTCTGGAGGCAAGGCCTTGGACCAGCGGTGGGGCCTAAAAAAAAGAAAAATAGGAAGAAAAGTCATCATCAGTCCAAGGAAAATGAAATCAGCGCAGCTCTCCTTTATCATGTATCTCTGAGCAAAGCCTGCTCTAACCGGAAGTGGGGCATAAGTCTCTGCGGGCCACGGGGCCGGCTCTCCAGCCCTTCCCACCCAGCACCAACAGAACAGCGGGCAGCCTCCAAGTGCTCTGCGGCAAGACCAGAGCCGATGCAGGGGCAGGGCAGGCTAACCCCTTGCGACAGAGACGTGCAGCCGACAGGGAGGAACACCCTGCTTTAATGAAAACGTGCCACGTCTTCATTAAAATGTGGAACACCCTGCTTTAATGAAAATTTGCCACTATCCCCATGAGGCCCAACTCCCTCATCTGTCACCTGCCTGGCCACAAAGTCAAATGAGTTTACACATGGAAAATGAATTTACAAACGGGAATCTCATGATTAGCAATGAGTTTCACTGTAAGGACTTCCTAACCTTCACAACCCAAATCTTGACAATATTACAGCTGAGACCATTAAACATAATATACAATAAACAGAAGCTTATCAATCTTCACAAATCAAATGGCTTCAAGAAAGACCAGAGCCTGTGCATCTGCAGTACAGACCCTGCCTGCCAAGGGAACACTGCAGGCACAGTGCCCAGACACTCACCAGTGTGGCACTATTGTAGGCCTGTGTGTGCACCCAGCCATTGTGTGACAGAATCAGGAAGCGCTTCTCTGCACAGGCAATCTGTGTGACTCCCAGCTTGGCCAGGCCTTCGCACTAGATCGGACCAATCACATTGGCATAGTATTTCCATCCTATTAACCCCCAACCTATGACCTCTTGCAATGATCCCTGTAAGATAAGAAAGTAAACTTTTTTTTTTACAATAGCAAAAGAAAAAAAAAAGACTGGGAGTAACACTGAGATATTATAAGCTAAAAACAAAGCAAATGAAAATATGCTGCTTCAAAACATCAAAATAGCTGGTACCACACCATATTACCTCATTTAACAGGTATGATGAGGCGACTGAACAGGTTAGTTTTCCATTTCCATCGCATTTCATTTTAAGAGAGTCCATTAAAAAGTAGTATCAATAGCCCTTAAATACTAATATACTTTAAAATGCTCAAACTACATCAGGGTCACCATTTTGTGCTTTAGGAGGCAAAATCCCAAAAGCCCACACGCGAGGCTGGGAGACCAGCATCCGTGTCGGTGGTGAGAGAAATCAAGTCGTGCAGGAGCAACCTGGTGACAACCAGCCCACACTGGGTGCATCCCCACCTGCACATGGGCACGGGCACACACGCGTGCACATGTGCAGCACACGTGTTCCAGGGCAGGCCCTGCAGCACTATTTGTGTTTGTTTTATTGTTGTTGTTATTATTGTTTGAGAAGGAGTTTCACTCTTATTGCCCAGGCTGGAGTGCAGCGGTGCCATCTCGGCTCACTGCAACCTCCGCCTCCCGGGTTCAAGTGATTCTCCTGCCTCAGCCTCCCGAGTAGCTGGGATTACAGGCATGTGCCACCATGCCCGGCTAATTTTTGTAGTTTTTAGTAGAGATGGGGTTTCTCCAAATTGGCCAGGCTGTTCTAAAACTCCCAGCCTCAGGTGATCCCACCACCTCGGCCTCCCAAAGTGCTGGGATTACAGGCGTGAGTCACCACACCAGGCCCTCAGCACTATTTGTATAGCAACATTGTGGCAATAAGCCCAAGTGTCCACCAGTAAGAGACTCACTAAACAAAGATACATAAAACTCACATCCGCACACTGAATACTAAGTTGCTTTATAAAAACAAAGAGCCACACTCTGATAAAGTACTCCAGTACATATGATTAGTAAAAAACACACACCACAAGTAATGCAACCTGCTACCACTAGCTACTCATTCCAGAGAACAAGGAGGTTACAGAGGAGACTGGAAAGTCAGAGGGAGCAGGTGGGAAACTGGGTAGAAGGGGTGGGCAGGGAAAGCGACAGTGTGTCTCTGCCTAGGTTTGATTTTCGAACCCTGTGACTGTATTCCTTTTTTTTTTTTTTTTTTTTTGAGACAAAGTCTGGCTCTGTCACCCAGGTTGGAGTGCAATGGCAGGATCTTGGCTCAGTGCAAACTCCGCCTCCCGGGTTCACACCATTCTCCTGCCTCAGCCTCCCGAGTAGCTGGGACTACAGGCGCCCGCCACCACGCCTGGCTAATTTTT